AAGTTGTTTGGAAAGACTAAGAAATAAATGGGTTACTTTGATTTTGAGTCGTGCTACACAGCGGATTATAGTTCACCTAGAATGGAATTTGGTTTTCTTTGTTGGGCTTGGGGTGGAAAGAGCCATCATCACATATAACATGGACAACAGAAAAGTTCATGTCATCCCTACACATTACATTCCGTATGGTAGACGTGACATCCTGTCAGAAATCATCGGCAGACCTTACTATCTTTCCTATGTTCCCTTGTTCTCGGACTTGGAGTCATTAGCAAAGTAGTAAGTAAAGCTACATTTGATGTATCTCTCTATCATGACATGTTTTAATGGATCAATGTTGTTTGATTTACTATGGCCATGTTAATTTCCTCTTGGATGGATGTTGTCATTATTTTGCAATAACTTTAACTTGTTTGTAATGTAAGCTAATGCCTGTGCAATGTGTCAAACGCATTCAAACGTATAGAGGTCGGACTTTCTTGTGTGTGTAGTAATATTTCAACACCAATGGCTACTCTTTGTTTCCCCAAAGAAACACCAATGGCTCCTCTGTAGTAGTGATATATTAACCGCCATGATCTCTTCCGCAACTTCGCTTGTTTTCTTTCCTTCCCGAGCCCTCCCATTCCCACTGTAGATCTAAAATCACAAGGAACGTGTGGTTACATTCTCCAAACCTACTTCACTCTTAACCACTACCATGGCGAAGGGCGAGCCTTCTGTGAAGCGCGCACGGGAGGGGGATGACGCCATGCCCGTGGTGAAGGAGGATGATGCCATGCCTGTGGTGAATCAAGATGAAGCTCCGGTGGATCCTTTTGGAGATAGAGATGATTGGGCCATTGGCATCATGAGTAAGGCTTTCTTGAAGATTAGACATGTGCTACAGAACACCGAGGTGGACACCCTCAACCTACCTCGGGAGGAAAAGGTGAGCAGTTACCCCTTCATTTTTCACCAACTCGCCGATGTCCTAGAAGAACTATCAGCCTACCTGAACAAGAATTGCACAGACAATGCAGAGTACATCCTCGCCTGCTACCGAAGCTAGATAGATGGCTTCAACACTAGCGTTGTGACGCAGGGAATCAGCACCGCCCACAACACCGAGAAGCATTGGCGCAACCTGGTTCATGCCGATGCTGAGCAGGTGGCCAACTACATCACCGCTAACGAGCAAAAGGGCCTCATGGCTATAGAGGAGGAGGACGATGACATTGATACCAATGATGAGGACGAGGATGAGGACAGTGAAACAAATGATGAGTAGAGGAGTAAATAAAGTTCCATTTGATGTATCTCACGTTGCATTTGATGTATCTTCCTTATGTTGGGAGTACATGTTGTTACTCTTTCGTTATGTTGTTACACTTCCTTATGTATCTTCCCTTACATTTTATGTCAGATGTGTTCAAATGTATAGAGGTTTTTGATTTATGAAGTCTGATTTGTATGTCTGTGTTTACTTTTGTTGAACTTTGTATTAGGTGGGTTAAACTCTATTGACCATGGTGTCCTTTGGTCAATTGGTAGCCGATTTTTAGCCCCTGTTGGTTGGTTTTGCCTGTAGGTTTATTTCTGGTACTCTTTCTGATCTATAGTATGATAAACATGCATAACGGAATTCATTTGATCAAGTTTTGCGTCGATGTAATGCCTAATGGAGGTGCCACATAGCTATTCAAATTTTACAGCACACGCAATAAAGTCCGAGCATCGTAAATCTGACCGGGCCGGACACATCTCACGTTATACAGGATAACCTATTTCATACGAATACATTTGTTGAATCCCTAATGGAAACAAATAAAATTGAAACTAGTTACATATCCGGCCCATTCAAATTTACGCTGCTCGGACTATCAAACGAGCAAATGGTTTACAAGAAACAGGTAAACATTATTTCATCGAATATACTAGAGGGACATGGTCGAGGGAAAAGTTGTGATCATTTGTTGTAGAGTACACATCTATGGTATGGTAACTAGTTAGCATCTGTAAGCATGATTTCAGTTAGTGTCAATCGACTGAAGGGGAAAGCCACTTATGACTACTACTACTACTGATAGGAATGTTGTGACCGAGTGCACTCCGTACGCAATAGTTTTACTCATAGCTCTATACTGTATAGTGTCCGATGAGATCAAATGTGCCACATTCATACTTTGTTACAAGCGCAGTAAAATATGAGAATGAAACGAATGCGGCAGAAAAGCTGGACACAAGAAGTGAATCGAGAAAAAGAGTTTTTGACCACCATGACATGCTTGAGACTTGAATGCCTGGCAGGAGGCGTCGGCAGCGCAGTAGGGTGGAAGGCAAAAGCTTTGGGATAAAATTGGGAGCTCTGGAGAGAGAAGGCAGTAGGTGTATAACCTTCCCTCTCGCCCCTTGTCTCTGTTGCTATAGTTTGGGGGCCGTCAATCACCCCACGCGCGTGGGTGGGCGGTGGTGCTTCATCCCGTCATGTCAATGCGATGGGCCCAAAGCGACGTCCACTGCTGTAAGAGGCTGCTGACGCCACCCACGCGCGCGCCTACACGAGAATGCAGGACCACGTCATCCGGGTAGTCAAGATTTTAGACAGCCGAACCTTGTGTGGTCCTGTGAAGTATAAAAATTCTAAATAAAAATAATCTTTGATGCATGGTTCTTGCAAGTTCAAATCTTATCAAATACATGAAAATCAGATGAGTTGGGTTCAACACAGATCAAAGCCACTCTGTAGGCAATAGTTTTACTCACAGCTCTGTACTATATTGTGTCCAACGAGATGAAATGTGCCGCATCGGACTTTCTTACGAGCGTAGTAAATTATTAGAGTGAAGCGAATACGACAGGAAAGCTGGACACAAGAAGTGAATCAAGAAAAAGAGCTTCTGACACGCTTGAGACTTGAATGCCTGGTGGAGTTGTGATAGGTCTTTTCTGTACTTATTTGATTCCAATCCAAGCAGTCATAGCAGTCGAGGAGTAGACTAAAGAGTGAAGAGTGAGATGTGTCTAGCTCGGTCAGATTTGGTATATCGGCTCGGTCAGATTTGGTCTATGGGCGGTAAAGTCAGAGTGAGTTAATTCCCATCTACTAGTACTTGCATCACCATTACTTGCACTTCTCCATCTTCGGCTGGACTATTTAACCTGGGTCTAGATGCACCTCTTGGGATCAATCCACACACTCTTGAATCCACACACTCATGAGTCAATCATCTTTCTTCATCGCCTAGCGGTGCTGGTGCAAGTTTTGCGAGGTGCTCCTTCTCCATCCTTTGCGAGGTGCAGCCGTTGAACAGGAGCTTGACCTAGATGGTTGCAGACCTTGTGTTAGCAGGAGATCTATAATCATTTGGTTCTCTCCTATTCAGGGGCTCCATACTTGATTGGGGGTGCTTCAAGTTTACGAGGTGCTCGTTCTTTAAGATTGGGTGCTTAGTTGTGTTATTAGTCCATACATGTTTGTATCAGTGGCTCCTCTGCTCTGCATTAGACTGAGGTGACACCTGTTCCTCGCTGTAAGGTTCTTGCAAGTTCAACAAAGATATTTCATAATTAATCTAATGATTTTTATTTGATATCATAAATAATGAAAATACATTTTGCAAGATTCAAGAGAGATATTTCATAATTAATCTAATAATATTCAACAAGAACCATCATCGCATATACACATGGACAACAGAAAACTTCATGTCATACCTGCCCTTGCCATTCGGTAAAGTCTGGCCCGTGTTGTTTCTCAGTGGCCGGATAATCCTACGCGCCAACCCATATTTAAAAACAGGGCCTAAACTTAAAATTATAAACGACACAGTAACAAGCATCATAGGAAAACGAGAAAAAACGAGACTTGCTCGTATGACCTTGTCGCTACCATGGTTCTTGCAAGTTTAACAAATTTTATCTAATACATGCAAATAAGAGGAGAGCAGTGCCATCCCACTACTCAATGTCATTCAACTACTACCAAGACATACTAGTTCTAACTACAGATGATTAACATGACTTCATACTAGTTCTAACTACTAGATACGTACCACATATCAAGGGTCAAGGCGGGCATGCATGATCTGCTCCACGTTCAGCTTCGCTAAGATGCCATTGGCGGCTGGCCGGAGGCTCTCGATGAGATCGTTGATCTCATTGTCGTCCAATCCTGACGAAAAAACCCTGCTCCACCACCTAGATGTTCACTGTCTCGCCAAGCTGAAGCTGGGTAGCGGCTAGCGCCGTGGCAGCCGCTTGACGAACGGCTTCGGACACCACGGTCGCCTTGTCTTCTCACGTCTAGACGGCTTCCTGCTGGACCACGACAAGTGCGGCGCGCGCTGCCACCAAGTCACTGAACAGCATGTTGGCGTGCAGCCTGGACGCACACAACAACGCTTGACCTCGTGGTAATGCTTCAATAACTTACAATATTTTTCGTCGCCTGAAGATTCGCCCACTTCGTGTAACAACCCAAGTTTTCGAGCATAAAAAAATGTGAGCTTTTTAAAAAATTTCCTACAAATGTGTGAAGCATGTAGCTTCTAGGTCAAACCCGAGTCTAACCCACTAACAAATCGTTGCATCCATTTAGATTTGTTTGTAGAAGTGTGCCAGTGCTCTCGAGTTTGTTCTGTGTTTGAGTCTTGTTAGAGTTTGGAGTGCATAAATCCATAGCAAGAGTTCCTTCCAATCCCGCTTGAATTACTTCTCAATCCCTCTCGAATTCCTTTTGGTTCCATCTAAAAACCCTTAGTCATATTGAGAAATCCTCTTCTTTTCTCTTGGGCCAACACCCTCCCTTTCTTCCTAACCGCGGCCCATCTCTCCTCTATTCCTCCCTTTTTCCGCCGGCCCACCCGCCTCTTGGCCCAGCTGCCGAGCAGCTCGCCTTCCTGGCCCATTCGGCCTTTCCTCCCCTTCCCGCCGCCAGGCCTCGGCCTCCCTCAAGCGCTGGCCCAGCTCGCCACTTTCCCGCGCGCAGCCCAGCCACACCGGCCCCCGCAGGCCCGTCCATGCCGCGGCCCCCGCAGGCCCACGCGTCGGCCCCCGCCGGCCCATCCACCCGCGACCCTCCTAACCCTAGCGGCCACGCGCGCCTGCCCTCCCGACCGCCCTCGCGACGCCGCCGCCGCCCGGCCACGCGCACCCGCGCCGCGCCCGTCCCATCCCCTGCCTCGGCGTCCGTACCAGGAGCTGAGGGATGCACGCCGCGTGTCCCTGCCCTCGCACGGACGACGAGGATCACCGGTGCCCTCGGGAACCCTAGCCTGCAGGCCTATAAGTACCACAGCTGCCGCCGCTCCCTTCTCTCCCTTTAGCCGCCGCCGCACTCCACTGCTCCCTTCCTCCTCTTCCTCGCTTGCCACCACCGCAGCTCGCCTCGCCGTGCAGCGCCACCGCGACCCCGAGCCGCCACGGCAGCGCCTCCGCGTCTGCCGTCTCCACCACGCCACCGGAGCCCCCTCGACCCTGTCCGCGCCGGCGCCGACCGCGAGCTCCACTCCGCCTCGCCGTCGAGCCACGCCGCCGAGCTGGGACGCCTTCGCCGCGGCCACCTCTGTCCGCCGTCACCAGGAAGCCGCGGCGTCGAGCCTCCACCATCGCGCCATCCACCTCGACGAGCCAACACCGTGGCGCCGTCTTCTTCCATGGACCGCGACGCCATCGGCGCTTTTCCTCGCCACCGAGCTGCACCGCGAACTGGAGCAGCAAGCTTCGCCGTGCTCCTCCTCGCCGACGCTGTGCCTCGCCACCGCGGTGTCGTCCTCTGTGACCACACCGAGCAGGAGCTCCGCCACCGCGTCCACCTCTTCTTCCTCGCCGGAGCTTCTACCCTGCCGCCGGTGAGCTCCCAAGGCCAAGCTCCTTCCTTTTTCCCTTCCTCGCCACTGTTCTCGCCTGAGCCCGGCCTCTGTGCCGTCGTTCCTTGCTGCCGCAGGAAAGACGCACCTCCACCCCTCGACCACGGCGTGCCTCTGCTCCAAGCTGCCGTTCCGCGGCGTCTCTGTGACCTCCACCTCGGACGCCCGCTAGGAGCAGCAGCTGCCGGACGTCAGCGTCTACCCCGCCGCCGGCGACCACCTCCCCTTCCCCTCGGGTGAGCCACCAGCAGCCCTAAGTTTCCTCCTTTTTCCCCTTCCTGCCTTTACCCTTGCTGAACCGGCCTTCATGCTGCTGTTCCTCACTGCCGCAGGGAAGCAGCCGACCTTGCAGCACCCTTGGCTGACTCCGTCGCCCCTCCGGCCACCTGTGCCCTGTCCTGGCCGCCTGCTGCCCCTTTCCTGGCGACAGCAGCCAACCCCGGCCACCTGCAGCAAGCCATGGCCAAGCTGCAGCAATCCACGGCCAAGCCGTGGCAAGCCACAGCCGGCCGACAGCAAGCAGCAGCCCACCGAGTGCAGCAGCAGCGGGCCGCATCCTGCTGGAGTGCGCCATAGCCGCCCTTCACCGTCAAGGTCGAACTTTTGAACTTCGTCGATGCCATCCTCGACATCGACAAGACCCTTGTTTTTCATTTTCCTCGATCTCTCATACTTGATTCATGATCTTCTATATGATATCAATATCTATGAATGCATGTGCCGTGCCTTCGCGCCTGTCTACCCACCTATCTATCTATCCCTTGTGCTATGGAATGTGTTACTCCACTTAGCGGTTGTTGTGTCGGTTTAGTTCTTGTTGTCTTGTGTGTTTGTGTTGTTTGCCTGTGGGCCGTGCCTTTGAGTTGGTTGAGGGAATTGTAGTTCGTTTGACCATTTCGGCCGTGGGTTCGTCCCGCCGTAGCCATTATGCCAAGCGTGACTCGTTTCTCGCGTTTTAGTTGTCTTCGTTGAACTACGAGCGTTGGCTCCTATCTTCGGCCCTAAGACAAGGCTTTTGGGGACTCGATGCCGATATCGACGCGGTTCTTACCCACACCCTCTCGAGCCCTCCGTAACCTAGTCTAGTGGGAGGATTAGGGGACGATGATTGCAGAACTACGGAAGCCAACTCGTTAGGTATAGCTTGTGGCCGTGGGTTCGCCTCGCCATGACCATCGGGCTCTACCTCTCTTTTGCTCTTTTGTTCCTTCCTATCCACCTCGTATGCTTGTGCCACCTAGACCATGGCATTTCCTTGGTTCTCACGGTGACAACCGCATCGCTATGGACCATGGGAATAGCCTTGTGCCGATTTAGTTGCACCTAGGTCGTGGAAAACTACGAGTTGGTGTGGATCGAGAGTCCGCGGGGTTTTGTCTCTATTCTTTCAACCCTCGCCCGTTCCCATGGCGTGTTGGTCGAGAGAATATGGATACCGTCCTTTTCTCTTCTCTCTCCCCCTATATCAATCCCCGTCAATCCAGTAAGATGTGGATTGAGCCCTTCGCTTGTTTGATGTTTATTACTCTCTTGATTCCATTCCTTCGATTCCCGTCGTATGATATGGCAAGCGGATCAAAGGAAGCTAAATCTCCTGTCCCCCTCTTTTGGTTCTGTCGTGCATAAGCCCTTGTATGCTTGTACCTATTTAGACCGTAGCATTTCTTTGGTTCTTGCGGTGACAACCGCACCGCTAAGAACCCTAGGGATGTCTTAGTGGATTTAGTGCACCTAGGTCGTGGTACCCTACAAGTAGTTTGGGCACTCGTTCTCTTGTGTGTCGCTTCATTCGATGCCCCGTCTCTTGCCATGGCGTGTGGATTGGAAGAAGTAGACAACCTCCCTTCTCTCTTCTCTCCCTCGTTCCACCCTCTCTTGATTCTCGTCAATTATAATGGCGTATGGATTGAGAGAGACCAGAACTGTTTCCTTTCCCCCTTAGCCGCTCTTTTTGATTCCCGTTAATCTCCATGACGCCCGGATCGGAAGACCGCGAGCCGTGGTGTTCGCTTAAGATGAGCTAGGGTCTATGCCATTTTTATTGAAGCCATACAGGTCGACACGATCGACCTAGGAAGTACTGGCTAGGCTAAGACTTAAGCTTGTGCTTAGCAAACAACCACTTCTATTTCTTTTGGCCCAGGGATCGGACATCCGTCGAGAGGGCTAAGTCGTTTTCCCTTTGGTGTTCTTTCGGTGTAGTTGTTCTTCCATGTCTTGTTGCCTTTTTAGAGTAGGGATTACTTCCTGTCTTGCTTGTCGCTCTATCAAGGTAGTTGCATCGAGGACAACATTGATCGGGTTGGAACCCGTTGGAGGAAGGAAATGTGGATGGCAGCAGGACCTTGAGGAAATCAACTGCGAGTACACTGAAGATCTTGGAGATGACCAATCAACAGGTGCCACATCCCATCCAACCTCGTAGAATCCTATTAGACATGCAACAATGTAGCTGCTAGTGCTTTACTCTTATGCAAATGATCTGTGATAGGTTGCCTGGTAGATTTGCTTGAAGCCTTTACCTTGACGCAACCTTTACCCCTGCACACCCACTGTTAGGATAGACGCTCGCATACTACTAACTACTTGCTTCTACTACGCATTATATCTGTGATGTGATGCTTGGTGGAGGATTGTTTATGAGTGGCTAAGGCACATGGTGCCGCTAAAACTAGTAACAACTTGGGGAGATCTTGGCATGCGTCTTGGGTGTGTGGTGAGGGTCGAGTCGATCGGGTAGGATCTTACGACGAGTCATTGGACGAGTCATGCCTAGGGGGTGCGACCTGGGCTCCCCTACGAGAGGTACTTGTGGCGTGTGCATGTGAGATGAGGAGATCCCAGGGTGGAGTGTCTTTGTGGGATGAAGCCCTGAGATGGAGGTGCCGTCGAGGCACGGGGTGTTGGTTATCCCCTTTGAGAAGATATCATGTCCGGTCCCCCTAAGGACTAGTATGTCGAGAGAACCAGATCATAGGACCCTACATACACCCCACTTGCTCCTGAATGGGCAGGGGATGGTTACCCGACCAACTAGGATGGTGCCATTACTGCTAGGTTGGAAGTGGATAGTGTAGGGAGGTATGGGCGTATGGCCCACACCCTCCTAAGACAGCGTAGTGACCTCTGGGGGCCTGGTATTACGTCTCACAGTCTTAGCGTGCCGGTGGACTTCGGGGTGGCCCAGGGCTGAGTGGTAGGATGGCACCATACCGGTTGGGAGGTAGTCGGTATCAGCCTAGGCAGGGCGCACCGTCGATGATGGTGATCTTGTGGTTTAGGTGTACACGCTCTGCAGAGTTGTTTGATCTATACATATAGCCGTGTCCGCAGATATGGACATTCCTATGACCTACGCTTTCCTTGATTAGTGAGAGGTGTCCTTACTTCTTCTCCCCCTAGGTTTGTTGGACTTCGGTTGTTAGCCGATAAGGTAAGGTACGAGAGGGAGTCGTCCTTGTCGCCTAGAGAGTGTGGTAAGATGTGTGTGATGGGATGGGTGAACTTATGGATGAGATGGGTTAAAACTTGATGAACTATTATAAAATATGGATGAACTTGCATAGGAAACCTATAGCCATATATTGGCCTTTTGCTATACCCTTCCATTCCACTTACCACAAAAGCATATGCAAAAGCATAGGGTGGGAGCCAGTGGCCAGTATAAATTGTACTGAAAGATATTTGGCAGGTTTTGGATGTCATCTACGACGACGACAACGGAGATTAGAAGGATTAGATGGTCTCGTGCCTGCGCTCAAGTTTGGTTGAGGAGATGAAGATGAAGTCTATGCCCGCTGTTGTTCTACGCCTACTCTGATGATTGCTCGTGAAGGAGGTGCCTTCACCTATCGACGCTCCACGTCGACTCTGATGATGGTCTATGAAGGAGGAGCCTTCACCCACCGACGCGCCACGTCTACTCTGATGAAGCCCTATGTGCGTTTTTGCTAGTATAACGATGTATTTAGGTGCGTAACCAAGTGTTGTAATACCTTATAAACTTGTCCGCTATGTATGAACTATGGTATCAACTGTTATTTAATAATGTGATGGCTCGATCTCTTGGACTATCATATTATAATTCGTATCTGTGGATTTTCCCTTCGTGGAAAATTGTGATCGTTTTAGAGCCAGAGGGATGTGTGGGGACAAACATGCTCGGTGGTGGCGAACCACGACGGGACGACTCTCCGTCCCCACCGGTGGGAAGCCCCACGACAAGGGGTGGCGCCGCCATTGAGGAATCGCTGCATAATGCAAGACAAGTTCAAGATCAGATGATAAGGGGGAGAGCGATCAGATTTAGAAGTCAAATGATTAAGCAATGTAACTGGTGCCGCATGTCACGGAATCGCCGGTGGTTGCCCCCACCGGTAATCCAGTGCTGGTTCATCGCCAGTGCGTGATGTCGGGCAATCTTCTTGTCGACGGCGTACGTCCCATGTGTGCGGCGATTGGCCCAAGCGAGGACATGCTCCCTGATGATGGACTGTGTCCAACCATGGGGCGCACTCTCTGGGCAAAGAGGGCAGACCAGCAAGCCATAGCGGCTGGCACGTATCATCATGTTTTGGCTCTCGGGGACGGGAGTTGCATACCCGTGCCGACGATCGTCCTTTGAGTTTGTCGTAATGATGTAGACTAGGCTCGATCTTCTGAAAGCTATGATATCGTCGATTGGTGGAGACTTGACGTTCACGATCTAGGCTTCGAACCAAGACTGATTCGGACCCCCGCAACCGTTACACCACTACTCCGTTGGTTATCAACGACGTGAACGCGATTGACCTCGTCGAGAAGGCTTTCCTGCAAGCGAATCGAGAACACAAGCAAGAACGTGATGAACGCAATATGAAATTGCAAATAAATATGAGGCTTATAAAAATAAGAAGGAGTTCAAGTCTTTATTCGAAAGGACTAATTGCCACAGGCGAACAAGATCAAGAACTGGGGCCCTGGTTCACAGCAAGCGGCCTTGGCGGCGACAGTTGCAGCAAAATGACGTCTGTTTCACGAGAAAATCAAGAACTAAACAAAACCCAAACCCTAAGGAGAGCGACGGCTGCTAATTATAGAGTCTTAGGCATCACCCCCTGGACACACCCCCTAATGGGCCCAAACACGATACATGGTCCAACAAACCAAAATATGGTATCGTAGCACCTTGGCAGATTCTGGACGCTGACTTGTTTCGACGATTCCTGTTGATTCTGAATAGCTTTTGACGTGAGACCACTTGGATTGGCTTCCTTATCAAAATAGCTTTCCATCGATATGTGGATTGTCAAAAACGGAGTCCGGATAAGTCTGGTGACCAGCTTTAAAAGCGATCGGTCCTGGAATCGAGATGGACTCCAACTTCGCTTGGACTAGGCCTCCACCACGAATAAGATGAATTGAACGCCCATCTCGGACCTCCTCTCCTTGGCTTGTATGCGATGAGGTACTTGATGTGTCCTCATCATCCTCCCTTTCTTGAATTGAAGTCGCCCTCGATCAAGTAGATCGTCTCCTCCATTGGATGACAACAACGATGGCTCCGGGAAGAAGACGTTCATCTTGGCGCCCAATCC